GCACGCCCCGCCCCCTTCTCGCGAGAGCGTGCCACCCCACACACCCGGAAGTGGCGGCCGCAGGGAGCAACACGTGTTTCCCGGTGCCGCCGCCGCCGCTATGGGCCGGGCCCGCCGCCGGCACAACTGGAAGGCCCGGTTATCTCAGGGCACGGTGCCGCCGCCTCCGTCAGCCCCTCCTCCTCCGCTGGAGCTGTCGCTGGAGCTGGGAGGTGCGGCGGGAACCGGCCCGGTTCTTCTCGGGTGTAGCGTTTCGTATTATCGCGACCCGGGGCGCTTAACGTTGCTAATGATGTAGAGTTATTGTCTATGTGCTATGGCTACGTTGTGCTTCCACGGGACGCATTATTGTTAAATTATCTTACAGGCCTTGCGTTAATAGCCCTGTAAAAGCGACTACTAAAAATATTTTTACGCTTAAAGTTTTTATGCTTAACCGTGGCCTTCTCAAATATTGCTTTTTTAAAAAGTAGGCGTTCGTTGTGCTGTTTTTCTTACTCAGGCTCCACTAATAGGGGTTTTTGGCGTTAAACCCCAGTTCTGCCTGGGGGAGGTGGGTGGCTGCGGGGTTGCCCCGGGGTGCAGTGTCCTGGGCTGCCCCCTCGCCCGCGGGAATGCAATAAAAAGCCCAAAATTTCATAACCTTGTTATGTAAGTCAAGGAAAATTGCCCTCGGGGCTTTAGGAAGCACAGGGTTATCGAATCCACACTTTCATGGTCCTTTGCCCTTTTTGCTGCTGCAGGAGTTTGGTTTTTTTTTTTGGCTGGGGGTTAGGGTTGTGTTTGCTTACAGCAGCTAAATGTAGTAGGTTTGCAATAAGCTCGTTAAGCAGCGTGCCAAAAATAATCCCCCTGGCACCGGGGAATAACCAAACAAATGCTTTCAGATGAAGCAACGCTGAAGGGGATTGATGGAAGTAACCCCCTGGTCCTGCCAGCGAAAAGAGAGAAGAAGAAAAAAGCAGCTCCTGTTGTGCAACAGCAGAAGAAACCCCTGAGCAAGAAACAGAAGAAAATCCTGCAGAAAGTGTTAGAGCAGAAGGAAAAGAAAAAACAGGTACATTGCTGCTCGCTGGTAACTCCAGCTTTGCCAGTTTGGTTAAAATGATAAAGTTATCCAAATGTATACCAGTGTATGGAAAAAGTTAATGTTAATAAGCAGCTGTAGAGGCTTCCCTCATGCTGTGGCACTGGCAGCCCCTGATTGGTGACACCCCTGTGTTGTTGGTGTGAAAAACCAGTGGAGGGTTGGCCACTCTGCAGAAACAGCGAGCGGTTTTTTGGGATATGACCTGTCCATGACATCTCAAGGATGTGCAGAATCTGAAGTTTAAGTTAAAACAGCACAAACCATCCCTTTTCTGGGTGTTTTGGCAGAAATGTGCTGTTGCCCATGGACTCCTGAGCATAACTTGTGGGGAAAAGCCTTTCCCCTCCCTCTCTGTGGAAGAGGTGTTGGAATGCCCTGTTTCTGAGTCCTGGTTCCCGTTCTCTCTTTGACCCTGGCCACACAGATGCGTGTCGTGAAGTACATCACTAGCAGAGTAAATGACTTGATATCTTAAAATCAGGTTGGATGAGAAGCTTTGTCCTGCTGCAGAAGGCCAAGCTTGATGCTGCCGGTACTTCTGAAATATTTATTTCAAGCTCTGATGTATTTTCTGTATGCACAGGCAGCTCTTCTGTCTCTGTAAAAGCTTTCCAGGCAAAATTCCTGTTCTGTTTTAGTGTCTGAATAATGGTTTTGACAAACGAACTCTGTTTTTGGAGGCGGTTTGAAACTGCTGCTTTCTGATGACCTGCCAGCGCTGTGTCCCACATGAGGGGTTTGAGAGGAGACTTCCATTCCTCTGCCCTCACTCCAGCATTTTAGTTCAAATCCCTTTTCTTTGCAGTTGTGTGAAGGGCGCAGCTGAGCTTTTCACTGCAGCCATGAAGGGTCAAGTCCATGTTTCTATTTTTGCTGTGGTGCGGGGCTGAAATCTTCTTCGGGGAGGACTGACCATGGAGCAGCAGGAACGTCTTTACAGCTTCACAGCAAGGTTTCCCGGAGCCCACCCTCTAACACTTGAGCACAGGTCTTGAAATGAAATTATTTTCTGGTGAAAATAAGCACTGATTTTGGTTGTTTTTCCCAAATAGCGAGCCGAGTTGCTGAGCAAGCTGAATGAGGTCCAGGCTTCTGAGGCAGAAATGAAACTTCTGTACACCACTTCCAAACTGGGTACTGGGGAGCGCATGTATCAGGCTAAAAGGTAAAGCATTATTTGGAAAGAATCATTCTTGTTTATTGCTGGGGTTGAAAACTTGGCAATCTTCTTACCTGGTTTTGCTTGATTATATTTTTTTTTCCTTCTTACTCCGCACAGGTCCTCCAGAGTGGATGGAGTTAAATAATTTTCTTTTTTTTTATCTGGTAACATAATAGTTATTTTCTTGTTTTCCTAAGGAGAGGATATTAGTTAAAAAAATTGGTCTTCCCTTTCATAAGGGACAAAGTGGGTCACAGTTATATATGCATATTCTTAAAATTATGCTAAGCTGTGTAATTGGTGGAATAAACATTTACTTTCATGTATTGGACAAAAAACAAGACTGATGCAGGCTGTAGTTACTGGATTTATCATCAGCTGAATTTTGGCAGAAGTTGAAATAAATTAAACTACAAAGATGTCTTCTGAAGAAATTAATATGTAGCAGCATAGAGTGTGCTTAGACACGAATCCAGCCGTCAGGTCAGCGAGCTTTACCTAGCAGAGTTCTGAAAACCTCCAAGACTGGAGATCCTTGGAGAGTTGGGTGAACCTCTCTGGTAACCTCTCCTGTTGCTGCACTCCACCCAAGGTGTGGAGGTTTTCCCTGTCTGAGAAAAAACTGGGTTCAGGCTTGGGCAGTGACTTCTGGTGATGCAGCTTTTCTGGTTTGTGTGGAAGACCTGTCTGGCTTGAGGTCCTGGAGAGCATTGACTAAAGTGTAGTTCACGTCTTGATGTTTTGCTCTAGGGTGGTACAGGAGCCAGGGACTGCCATCCCTGACAAGATCAGGAGCATCAGTGGTGCGAATAAGAGAAGACACAGCACAGATTCTGAACCGGAGCCTGAGAAAGAAGCCAGTAGCTCCGAGGAGGAGCAGGAAGAGCAGAAACAAGAACTTGAGAAGTCCTCAGGCAGTGATTTGACCCCTGCTGACAAGCCAGAGGAAGGCGTGAAGAAGACAGTGGCTGACCAGCAGCCGGCTGGCCCTACTGCACCTGTTTGCCAGGCAGCCTCCACCAAACCTCCTTGCAAACCTGCGGTTTTCATTCCAGTGGATAGGTCTCCTGAGATACAGGTGGGGCTCTGTGAACAGTCAAGTGCTTGTCAGAGGGGGGTTGGAGATTATGGCACCTTTCATCAAATCAGGTCCCTGCAGACACCAGTGTTCCCTCCTGTCTCTGGCTCATGCTGCGTGGTGGCAGAGTGCACTTGGGGTCCTTGTCCTGGCAAGTTGTACCCAGACATTTCTGAGCTTTAAGCCTGTCTGGCCTAACAGAAGGAAAACTAGTTTTGTTTTAGGGTAAAAGCATTTGTCTCTAGTTTTAAATATAGAATTTATTACTAGTCTTTTATTGTTCTTTGCTGGAAAATCTTGTGAAGTCACTTTTAGCTCTCTATTATGCTGTATCTTGTGCTGGACAGTTTTATCCCGTTGGCTGTAGGTGGGGTGTTCTGTAGAAATGGGAAAAGCTCTGCTTGGGTCTGAACAGACAAGACAGAGTTGTGAAATGAGTTTTTGCTTGAAGTGCTATATTAATAAACTCCAAGGACTCTGAAGTTTCACAAATCAAAGTGCAGGGCTTGCCAGCAGCTTTCTGGGAAGCTGCTGTGATGGCTCTAGTTCTTGGACAAGCTAGTGTGATATTATTAGCTGCTTTAGAGCTTTTCAAGCCACAAAGCTTGCTGAATCCTTTGTGTGGGTTTTATATTCTGAGGAAGGTAACAGTCCTCAATCCTGGGGAAGACAAAAAGGGCCTGAGAGACAAAACAATGCAACTAAAATGTGTGTTTTCTATTATTTAGGAAGCAAGACTAAAGCTTCCAATCCTTGCCGAAGAGCAAGTAATCATGGAAGCCATTAATGAGAATCCCATCGTCATCATATGTGGAGAGACGGGAAGCGGTAAAACCACACAAGTACCACAGTTTCTCTATGAAGCTGGCTATGCCAGGTACAAGTTGTCTTTTAATTGCAGCAAATGTAATTAGAAGAATTGGTGCTGAGTCGCTCTGGTTTTGTTTCTTTCCTTCTGATGTGGCTGAACTGAACCTGGTCTTTTCTGTGCAGTGGTAGTAGCCAGGCTTTTAAAAAATCTGAAGGGAATAAGGTTGTGACTTGTAATACAAGTCTCTACACTTAAGCAATCTTTTGAAATCTTGAAGGTAAAAGTTTTCTTCAAAGCCATTGGTTTGTTTTTCACAGAGGAGCTTTATTGCCTGCCCATCTCTGTTTACAGAGGTTTGTTTTTACCTTTGCAAGAAAATGTGCTTTTTTTCTTTAAGAACACCTTTGAAAATAGCTGTGGCTCATCTGATGCTATCGGTAGCATTTATAAGCTTGAGCACCTCATAAGGTGCTTCTGACAAGCTGCATCAGGGCATCCACCTTCTGTGCTGCTGCTGCCCTGCCTGAGTTTCTTCTGAAATGGATCTTTGGACATCCCTCTGGCAACGGTGTCCTGGAGTTCAGTGAGCTGGAATTAAAGAAAAAACATTTGGGGAGAAAATTCTCAATTAACATGTACCTTCAGATCAATACACGTATAATAGAAGGGTTATCCCAAAAATTCCTTTCTGTCTTTTCCTTCCAGCTGTAACTAAAAGTGATACTGTGCGAGTGATGCTACTTAATTTAGAACCATTGTGCAGAAATGCTGGTATCATCTCTCTAAG